AATATTGTCTAACAGTGACCTTTGCATAAGACTTGTAATAGTTTAAAGTTAATTGAGCTTAAATTGTTAACCATTAAAGTCTGTGTTTAAAGACACTTTGGCCTTACTCAGTATTTCCAGCTAAGACATGAAATCCACACTTTGACTAAGTATTGTATGTGAACTTAATTTTGGATTTATATTTATTTGTCTGATAGAATTGGTTCTCAAAGTGTAGGATCCCTGTTTGTAAAGTGGTTAAACCAGTTGACTGTTAGCCAACAGGGTGGTTTAAAAATCCACCACCTTCTGTCAGAAAAAATGGGACAGTCTGCTTGTTAAGATTTCTAGCTTTGAGAACTAAGGAACAGTTTTATTGTCCTAGGTATTACTATGGATAATAATTGAATCAACAGCAGAGAGCTTTTTTAATTGCTCAAAGTGTGGTCTAAAGAGAATATAATGTCATTTCGAAAAATACTAATTATGAGTCAGGTATGAAGCAGTGTCCAGGAATCTTGAACCCAAGGTAGTGATCCTGATGCTTGATGTTTGAGAATAAATAGCTCTCTTTGGAACGGGAGAATGAAGTTGTCTCTTGACCTACAGGGGTTTTGGCTTTTTGCTTTTATTCTGGTTATTGTAGAGCTGCTATTTATTATATGAGTAAAGGTTTTTAAACACTAAAGGTTTCAAAAGACTAACCAAACATCTCCCTAAGTCTATTTTTCTGTAATTGTAGGAAATAATTTTATTGAAGTTATTTTTGCCTATTAATTGACAAAAATAAACCATGTGCTTTCAAGTTAACTCCAATTCATAGCAACTTCTTGTGTGTCAGAACTCCCTCTAGTTTTTCAGTGACCTTTCAGAAGTTGCTTGCTAGGCTTTTTTCCTGAGATGTCTTTGTTGCTAGGTGCAATTGAGTACTACCCCTGGCAATCCTATGAACGACAGATCTGAACCCTGGCCTATCCTGTGACATTTACACACTTGAGCTCATTGCTGTACCCTGTCCATCTCATTGATCTTTTGCTGACCCTCAACCTTTACAAGCATGACGGCCTTTTTCAAGGGACACCAACCTAACAACATGCCCAAATTATGTGAGATGAAGCTTTGTCATCATTGCCTCCCAAGGAGCATTGGTTGCACCTTCTACAAGGTGTACCTACTCTTGTGGAAGTCTGTGGGATAGTCAATACACTTCTCTAATACTACAATTCAAAGGCATCAGTTACTGTAATATTTAATGTCAGGCTCTTACATGCTGCCAAATTTTAGTTGTATGTAATCTTGATCATTTGTTCACTGTATCAGAATAGGTGTTTTGGGTTTGTTCCCCCCATAAAAGATTTTTTTTTTTACAAGTTTCGGTGGCCTACTAATAAGTTGCATTCCCAACCTGAAGGTACGTGGTTCAAATCTAACAGCTGCACTGTAGAAGATCTGGGACAATCTGATTTACTATCTGAAAATTCACTGGAGGGTCAACTATGGATTGGGTCCATTTGAAAGGTCCCATAGTAACAGTTACTTGACAGAATCATTTGCCAAACGCTAGGTTCTTTTATATAGCTGCTTGTTCAGTGCCCTCTTTAGATACATAAAGAACTAAATCCCAAAGTGCTTTTGGGACAAAGTGTTAACACTAATTTGGAACATAGTTCTTAACTTTTCACACTCCAGTTAAAGAACAATTCTGTCAGCCCTGCAAAATTTTACTGTGTTTACGAAGGTTCAAGGGAGCTCTGTTGCCCTAGTAGTAAGTAAAGGAGGTGTATTGCCAATCCAAAGGTTATGAGGGTTCAAATCTAATAACTTCTTCACTCTAGCCACCTGAGCTCAATTACCCAAGGCTCCAGGCATAAGGCTGGAAGGCACAATTTAAAGAATTTGACCCTTATTTTTTTGTCCATCCCAGATGACTTCCTCTTAACTGTATGGTTCTTCATACAAAGCCTTATCAAAGTTTTCTCTTGAGCATCTATGTAAAAGAACATCACCATAGAGTACAATATAGCATTTTCAATGTTTTTCCACTTAATTCATAAGTATATGGTTTTCAGCACCCTCATCTAGACTCTTAAGTTTAACCTTTGTCGTATGGTACAAAAGGAAATTAGTTGAACCTTTTTTCTTTGACTTAAAACTCCAGCCATTACTATTAAGTAAATTTCAGTAGTGACCCTTTAGAATAAAATACAACTGCCCATCGGGGTTTCTAAGACTAAATCTTTACAGATGCTGTTGAACCTCCCATGGAGGAGCTAAAATACCATCAAAATGCATGGGGTAGACATTCCATTTCTGTCAATATTAGTGATTATACCACCCTGTT